AAAAAGGAATTGAGAAATCGCAGCTGAAAATGGACACACAAGTATTTACGTGGTTCACCCAATTTAGGCTACGTCCACGGACAAGTATAGGAGGATTTCACTATAGTAGGAGAATTACAACACTCTCTAAATACAAGGAGATAACAACAATTAATCTCTCTTGTAATATGAGAATACAAGGAGGTAATACTTAAGAGAAACTAATATTTTTTTTTCTCTCTACTCCCAATCTTCTCTCTACTCTCTAATTCCTCTCAAGTTGCTTGCATTCTCTCTCCCCACATCTACCTCTATTTATAGAAATTGTTAACCTCCTTAATGGAAGTATCTACATGAAAACAAGAAGAATTTCAATAGAAATTTTCTTCTTAAATAGTCAAATATGGTGGCTAGGAGAGTTTCACTTCAATTTTGCCACTTCCAAGTTGTGATTGGTGGAAAGGAATTCAAATTCAAGTTGGTCACTTGCAACTTGAAAACTTCTTCATGAAGTTTCAACAATAATTATTGGAGTCAACAATTGTGGCTTTAATATTCAACATTTCTCCCACTTAAAGTCACTTTTGTTGACCACTTCATACTTCCCATACTTGCCTTTTCCATGCTACTTACGTTTCTGCTAGGCTGATGGAGGATCGACACTATCTAAACTTGTCAGTTCCGATCGGCTTTGTTAACATATCTGCTAGGTTATCTGCTGTATGGATCTTCTGTATATCCACACTTCCTTCCTCTACCCTCTCTCGAACAAAGTGATATTGAACTCGAATATGCTTTGTCCTCTGATGAAATGCTGGATTCTTTGCCAAATGCAAAGCGCTCTGACTATCACAAAATAGAGCAATCTTCTCTAGTTTGTGTCCGAGCTCCTCCATTATCATTTGCAACCAGATTGCCTCTTTACTGGCTTGTGTAGCTGCCACGTATTCTGCCTCTGTAGTAGAAGTAGCCACGATAGACTGCAGTTTCGAAACCCAACTTACAGCTCCTCCAGCAAGAGTAAACACATATCCTGTGGTGAATTTGCTTTTATCCAGATCACCTGCATAATCTGAATCAACATAGCTTCTGACAATAAAGTCTGATCCTCCATAACATAATGTAGCATTTGAGGTACCCTTGAAATATCTCAGGATCCTCTTCACAGTACTCCAATGCTCTTTACCAGGATTTGCCATGTATCGACTAACCGCTCCCACTGCTTGTGCAATGTCTGGTCTTGTACAAATCATAGCAAACATCAAACTACCCACTGCTGATGCATATGGTACTCGAGACATCTCCATCCTCTCTGCTTCATTGCTAGGACTCATACTTGAGGATAACTTGAAATTAATAGAAAGTGGGGTAGAAATTGGCTTACACTCTTGCATATTGAAGCGACGCAAGATTTTCTTCAAGTAGTTCTTCTGATTAAGCCAAATCTTCCTATTATTTCTATCTCGGTAAATTTGCATTTCTAGAATCTTGTTTGCCTGTCCCAAGTCCTTCATTTCAAATTCCCTAGCCAACTGTGCCTTCAAGTTTTCAATACGATCTTTGTTGGGGCCTGCTACCAACATGTCGTCAACGTACAACAGCAAGATAATGAAATCATTATCACCAAATCTCATGTAGTATGCACATGGATCTGAACAGAGTCTGTTATATCCAAGGCTCATGATGAAGGAATCAAATCTCTTATACCAGCATCTCGGCGCCTGTTTGAGACCGTATAGAGATTTGTTCAACCTGCAAATCAAGTTCTCTTTTCCTATTTCTTTAAAACCTTCTGGTTGGAGCATATAAATCTCTTCTTCAAGTTCTCCATGAAAAAATGCAGTTTTCACATCTAACTGCTCCAGGTGTAAGTAAAATGTAGCACACATCGCCAAGACTACTCGAACTGTTGTGAGTCGAACCACAGGAGAAAATAATTCGTTGAAGTCTATGCCTTCTTTCTGAGCATATCCCTTCACCACCAGTCTCGCACGATACCGCTCCACTTGGTCATTGCCATCTCGTTTGATCTTGTAGACCCATTTATTTCCAATGGCCTTCCTTCCTTGTGGTAGTGGAACAAGATCCCATGTCTTGTTCTTTTGAAGAGCTTCAATTTCTTCTTGCATTGCTGTCATCCACAGAGAAACTTCTTGACTATTTATAGCCTCATGGAAAGTTGATGGCTCTCCATCCTCTGTCAGTAAGCAGTATGCAACATTGCCCTCCATAATATAATTTGAGTGCCAAGCCGGTTCTCTTCTCTCCCGTGTTGATCGTCGAACATCTGGAGCACTAGATTCAGCTTGTTCTTCGTGCTCTAGTGTTGCTTCAAAAGTATCTATAACTTCTCGTTCGTCTCCAACTTCGACTATAGTAGTCTCTGGTTTTTCTTTTGAAGTGCTATCATTTTCTTTTTCTTGCATTTTGCCTTCCGCAAATATGACATCTCTGCTGATTATCACCTTGTGGGCAGTGGGATCCCACAGGCGGTACCCCTTCATTCCATCAGCATATCCTAAGAAAATACATTTTCTGAATTTTGGATCTAACTTTGATGTTTCTTGGGTGTTGTACATAACATACACAGGACTTCCAAACACATGTAAGTGAGAATAAT